AGATCATTTATGAATATATTAGAACAACAAGGAGTCTGGTGGCACCTTAAAGACTAACAGATTTATTTGGGCATAAGCTTTCGTGGGTAAAAACCTCACTTCTTCAGATGCATAGAGTGAAAGTTACAGATGCAGCTTTTCCTCTCCTGGAATTGATACCTCCTCATCTATTATTGGGAGTGGACTACCTCCACCCTGATTGAATTGGCCCTGTCAACACTGGTTCTCCACTTGTGAAGTAACTCCCTGCTCTCCATGTTTCAGTATATAATGCCTGCATCTGTAACTTTCACTCTATGCATCTGAAGGAGTCAGGTTTTTACCCACGAAAGCTTATGCCCAAATAAATCTGTTAGTCTTTAAGGTGCCACCAGACTCCTTGTTGTTTTTGTAGATACAGACTAACACGGCTACCCCCCGATACTATGAATATATTGAACACCACAGCTCTCAGTACAGATTGTTAGGGGAACACCCTATTTACCCCGCTCAACTGTGAAAACCAACCATTTATTCCTACCCTTGGTTTCCTATCTTTTAAGCACTTAGTGACCCATGAGAGGACCTTCCCTCTTATCCCATGACAGCTTACTTTGTTTAAGAGCCTTTGGTGAGGGACCTTGTCAAAGTTTTTTGAAAGTTCAAGTACCCTATATCCACTGGATCACCCTGGTCCACGTTTTTGTTGACTCCCTTAAAGAATTCTAAAATATTGATGAAACATGATTTCCCTTTACAAAAGCAGTGTTGACTCTTTCCCAATATATCATTTTCATCTATGTGTCTGATAATTTTGTTCTTTAATATAGTTTCAAACAAACAATTTGCCTGGTACTGAAGTTAGGCTTACTGGCCTGTAATTGCCAGAATTGTCTCCAGACCCTTAATTAAAAATAGGTGTTATATTAGCTACCACCCAGTCATCTGGTAGAGAGGCTGATTTAAGCAATAGGTTATATACCACAATTAGTAGTTCTGCAATTTAATGAGTTCCTTCAGAACTCTTAGGTGAATACTGTCTGGTGATTTATTATTGTTTAATTTATCGATTTGTTCAAAATCTTCCTCTCGACACCTCAATTTGGGACAGTTCCTCAGATCTACCACCTAAAAAGAATGTTCTGGGTGTGCAGATCTCCCCCATATCCTCTGCAGTAAAGTCAGTGAAGACTGAGGCAAAGAATTCATTTAGCTTCTCCGCAATGGCCTTTCTTCCTTGAGTACTCCTTTAGCACCTCTATCGGCCAATGGCCCCACTGACTATTTGGCAGGTTTCCTGCTTCTGATGTACTTAAAAAAAAAAGTTGCAGTTAATTTTTGTGTCTATCTTGTTGCTCTTCAAATTCTTTCATGGCCTGCCTTTTTATACTTTTACTTGAATTAAGTTAAGCCTTACCGAATTAAATTAAACCTTATTGAATTAAGCATTTTAGGAGCTCATATTAAAAATGCAAATATTTATGTATTATTGTGGGACTGTACGTAACATCTCTAGGAGGCAGACATGACTAATGCAAAAGCTGGCAAGCATTATGAGCTTCAAAGGGCTATTTTAGAACAATGGGACACAGAAGGAGGAACTTATGGGATAAACAATTTTAGTGGGCTACCTAGAGAAATACCTGGGGGGCAGGAATGCTAATTCCCCACTTCTGGGCCCAACCTATTAAAGCTACATCTTGAGGAAAATACATTGCCTGACGAATTACCTATTTATGGTTTTTAAGGATAAAAGACCCAAACTATTAAAAAAAAAAATCAGATTCATGGGCGTACTTGTTCTGAGTTAACAGCTACTGTGAACTTGTGACCACACAAAAAAAATCCTTGGTGCTGTTTAAAGGATAGTACATCTGCCAAAGCCCTTATATAGAGTTTTGGTGATCTGGTAAGCTTATTAGCATGCCTTTAGATTTTTTTTATTATTTTAAAATATTGTCTCGGTAATGCTTTTATTTTAAGAATAAGTGTGCTTACTTAGGAAAAGCTGTGTTGCAACTTAAAGCTATGGGTAATTACGCTGTTTACAGCCTCTGAGAAGAAAAGCACAGTGGGCCTGCTGAGGCAGTTTGACTTGCTGGGGAATTCAGTGTAGGCAGGGAATTGCGTAGTCTGGAAAAATCCTAGTCATGAGGGAAAGAGACACGTGTCTTTACCCAAGACAGGTGACAGCTGGGGAGCGCATGTGCCCTTATTGGACCACGGGGCGTGGGGGGGAGGAAATACTGGTGCAGTTTCCCTGAATTGTGACAGTCACCTTAGAAGAAAAAAAGTTAATAGCCATTTCAGACACTACTTCTGTCCCATCCTTCCCGAGTTCCTATGACTATTTCTTATTTTTAATAAAAATAGTTTTCTCCTTCCTGGTGCTGCATTAAAGACCTACTCTAATATGATAGCCTGACTACTTTTGGGCCAATCCTGCAAACACTTATACACGTGTAACCTTATTCACAAGAGTAATCCCAAGATCAAGAGCTATCGGTTATACGGGGGGGTAGGGGGAGAATGAAACTTTACACGAAGTGCTGTCAAATACACAAACTAAAGAAAAGAGAGCCTTCTTCCTCTATTTTGGCTACAGTAATTTTAGGTGTTAGAACATTTTGAAACAGAAACTTGAGTTTGGTAACCTTTAATATTCAGGAATCATCTGTCGATGTGGGGCAAGAGTGCTGGAACAAGTTTTATAGTGGGGGCGGTGCTGAAAGCAGAAAGCATTATTTTGTTATTACCACTGCCGCACCCTGATGTGGGCTGCACTATAAATAAGATGTGAACTATCTAAATTGTTTAATGTCTTTATCCTTACATTAACAAAGTCACAAGATTTGGTGTCTTAATACCATTGTTTCATTGATATCAAAGAGTATTGTTACTGCTGACAATCTCCCTGCATTACAAAGTTACCAATATTTTGCAGGCCTACAAAGAGATGAGTGTCAAAACATCCAATTTTATAGATTAAAAAGTTACCTTTGTTTGTTCACCATCAGGGTCTTCCAGCCAGCAATACGGGTCACATATTTTACACCCATGGTAATCATGTACCTGAATTTAAGAGAGACACATTTCATTAACAAATACAAAAGCAAACTTTGTTTTGTTTTGAAATTAGCAAATGATCCACATCAAGATGAAGGCTCTGTGGAACACCAGAGCTGGGAAGTAAGAAGCACTACTCGAGTAAACACCCCAGTAATTCCTGGCTCCAAAATGAGCAAGCCAATATTCTATGGCCAGGAGAATGGTGGCCAAGTCAGTGCAGTCACAGTGAAAGAAAAAGTCAGATGATTATCAGGAGTTATACTCACTGCTAGAAGGTACATATAAATCCTATACTCTTTTCATATGGAAAACCAAACCAAACCAACCGTAATTTAGCATCCTCTTCATGGTCTTGCTCAGCAATCTGAAGATACAATTAAGACGGCCACAAGACCAGTGTTCAACTGGAATTGTGACTTCATTTCAGTAGTAACCTTTACAGTCACTCAGTAATTAAAGTTTCCAATTATTTAAGAGTAAGTATGTTTGACTGTAGTTGTTCTATCAGTATTAATGACACCAAGGAAAATTATTTAAGTAGTGGTTTATCTACATGACAAGTTACTACATGGCAAGGCAGGGTGTGAATCTAGTTCGGACATTTCAAGTTTTATAATTCACTCAGCTTTAAAAGTAGGAAGACAAGCTGATCTTTGTGCCAGTATCAACTAAGGCTCCAATTCTGCAAACACTTCTTCTCATGAGGGACGTTAAACACATACCTATGTATTACAGGATTAGGGCCTAAAATACTGCCTTTTGTGGGACAGGAAGGGGGGGAAAACACCGACCAGTTTTAATAGAACCTACATGGTTATTTTTAATGAACATCAGTTTCACCATTTGAACACAGAGGTGTTAAGTGTTAGAAATATATGTTCTGAATGTTGATGTACAGAAAGCAAAGTGAGAGTCTTACAGGTACATTATCATATAAGAAGATAAACTTTCTAATTTTCTGCATCTTTCATCATTTAGATTAAGGCCTTATTTTTCCAAGAGAGACTAGAGATTTTGGAGGCCTCAATTTTTGGATGCTAAACTTGAGACCCCTCAAAAGGGTCTGATTTTTGGACACACTGAGCACCTGCACTATAGGAGTCAGGCCATTTTAAAAGTCTCAAATTGGTGATCCAAAAACCTGCAATACGCTAGTCACTTTTGGAAAATTTAAATCTCTGTTTTTTCTACATAAATTATATATGTAATTTTTTTTAAAAGTTGCCATAAATTTAAGATTTAGTTTAGCTTTTATTTCTTGTACCCAAACAATGACATTACTCTTTGGGGAAAATGCCACAAGTGATTCCTTTCTTTATTTGTCCTATGATTATACTAACACAGGGATCGGCAACCTTTGGCATGCGACCCGGTTTGTTTACCTGCCGCGTCCGCAAGTTCAGCACATCCCTCAGCCCATGCCGCTTCCCGCCACCCCCATTGGCCTGGGACGGCGAACCGCGGCCAGTGGGAGCCGCGATTGGCCAAACTTGCGGATGCAGCAGGTAAACAAACCGGCCCAGCCCGCCAGGGTGCTTACCCAGGGTGCTTAGAAGGTTGCCGATCCCTATACTAACACAACACTGTTACCCCTCTGTACTCCCTTGGAGAATTCTGCACCAAAAAATTAAAAATTCTGTACACAATATTTTAAAATTCCATAAAATTCTGCATATTTTATTTATCGAAATAACTAGGGCTGTTGATTAATCGCAGTTAACTCATGCGATTAACTCAAAAAAATTAATCGTGATAAATCGCACTGTTAAACAACAAAATACCAATTGAAATGTATTAAATATTTTGAATGTTCTTCTACATTTTCAAATATATTGAGTTCTATTACAACACAGAATACAAAGTGTACAGTGCTCACTTTATTATTTTTATTACAAATATTTGCACTGTAAAAATGAAACAAAATACATAGTATTTTTCAGTTCACCTCACAGAAGTACTGTAGAGTAATAAGCAACAGAGGGTCCTGTGGCACCTTTAAGACTAACAGAAGTATTGGGAGCATAAGCTTTCATGGGTAAGAACCTCACTTCTTCAAATGCAAGATGTAGAGTAATCTGTATCGTGAAAGTGTAACTTACAAATGCTGATTTTTTTTTTTTACATAACTGCACTAAAAAACAAAAAAAGTGTAAAACGTTAGAGCCTACATGTCCACTCAGTCATACTTCTTATTCTGTCAATTGCTAAGACAAACAAGTTTGTTTACATTGACGG